GCCGTGGCGAAGACACATAACGTATTCAAAAGTTAACGTAAATGTTAAATGTTGAATCAAAGCATGTGGTGTGGAATCGACTGAGATATGCCATTGGGAATACCTCAGCTATTAAATGAAGAGCTCTCACTTCAAAGTTTGAAGGTACAAAATGATGGATCTGGATGGAATGGTTGGGATTCTAATTTTCATGGCTGACGGCCATAGTAGGGGCATATTAGAGATTTGGAGCATTTTACATGCATACCACAAAATTCTTATTTATTATTTATTTCACATCTATCACCTATGCATTCATATTTTCTTGTGTATCATTCAGATTTCTAACATCACATAAAAAATATCACAATTTTAAATGATAATATGTTGTCTTGAGGTCTAAAAGAAATAAATGGGTTTTTATGGACAGATTTCAAGACTAATAGATATCTGAAGGATCATATAAATCGGAGCCAGTTATCAGGTCTGTTACATAAATTGCCACTTCCATTAAACCAACTTCTGAACTAACCTGGTGGACTAGCGTGTCGGATTGAAGTGCCAAATATCAACTTCCCAGAAGTTGCACTGTTTCTTAAACCCCTCTGATGAGTTCGCCCTAACCAGTGGTCTTTGGGATTGCCAAATAGTTGAAGTAGCGATCAATGTCAAATGGGTTTGATATATACTTCATCATCATTTATGAGCCGTTTGATACCCCCGCCATGATCTTTTCAGCAAGCCACTCGTACCATACAGTTTATAATTTTAAATTATTTTCTCTTTATGCATTCTTTTTGTATTTAGAGTATAAGATTTTTGCAATTAACAATTTTAGTATTATTTTTAAAGAAATACAGGATTTGATATAGGGTAGCTACTATTTGTCACCCCTGAGTTAATTGTCAGGCTAAGTGAATTTACAAAAAGTTGGTGAATCCTAATAAGAAAGATTGGGTAGATATACTAAAAAGTGTTTTATGGATATATAGGATAACATATAAATAATCTATTAGAATTTCACCCTATCATCAAGTATATGAAAAAACGTATCACTTGCCCCAGAGCTTAAGTACAATGCCTTTTAGGCTATTAAGAAATTAAACTTTTAACTTGAAGATACTAAAATTAAGATTAAAGCAATAAAATGAGTTAGATGAAAATAGATTTGAAGCATATGAAAATTCTTAAATTTATAAAAAAAAAATTTAAGAAATGACATGATCTTAAACTGCATAAGAAAGAACTCATCCATGGACATAAATTTTTATTGTTTAACTTATGATTGAAATTATTTTTTGGGAAGTTGCACTCCAAGTAGTCTAGACTATTCAGTGTAGTTGAAGCATTTTCTTATGGGATAGTAGAAATATAAGACCCAAAATCATCCCAAACATTTGAAGTAAATGGTTAGAGATTGAAATCATTTGAAGGAGGTGATTTAGGTAGGAGTAAAGAGTTGATTCTTTTTAGTCGTCTACATTAATAAAATTTTGAACATTAAATTGAGCATGTTAAACTAAGCAATTTTTATGAGGCAGCCCTAAGTTATCTTGTGTTTGCTCTATTTGATTGATTGCTTTATGTGATTGATTGCATGTTATTATGTGACATGAGATTCTCTAAAAAAAATATGATTGACTGCATGATTTTATTGTAGCTTTGTGATGCCACCCTCACTGTATAGGCACCAAACATTACCTTAAATGATTGTAGGAATAATCAGAGCATCATGGCGTTGGTTGACATTTAGTTGCAGCTCCATACTCGATGACGTCTAGGTGCCAAAAAGTCATAGCGTTGCAGCACTGGTTAAATCGTGTTGTCATGTAGGATTTTTAATATTATTTAAAATGGTTATGAAACCTACTTTATGCCTCAGCACTGACCCCTAATACTACTGGGCTAATTCTATGCTACTAATAGTGATCAAATGCCTTAGATATAAAATTATGGTTGTTATAAATATGTATAATCAAATCTTAACCTGATGCCCAGACTTGCAACACTCCATTAATTACATTGATGGTGACCGAACATATCATGTGTGATTTGATGGTTGTCATTTATTCTCATTAATCATTCATGACCTAGCATTGTATTGTCACGGATCCAAGAGCACAATGTCAGTGTCAATTCATCTATAGACAGGGGCTTCTTCTTTCTAAAATTTTCAAACTATTCCTTGTATTTTAATAGCTTAATTCCTTTTCTTCTTCATTATATTCCTAATTTCTGAGAAGAAATGGCATTGAGCTCAAATTCGAAGGAAAATAAGGAGATCTTGGGATCTTATGATGCTAACTAGTTCGTGAGTGTGGAGATTCAAGGAAGATATGAAAACTCTCTCCTTCATCGAAAGCTAATTCCAGTGAGAGATTTCACCAGTCCCAGTGGTGGTGTTGAGTTCAACATATTAGAGAGGGGATGGAATAATTTGCAGCGGAACCTAATGTGTTATTGTATCCATAGTCCATCAGTTCCTAGCAAAAGCTAAGGAACATATGAATTACAAAGATTCTATGAAAGGTAAGTGGGTTTTGTTTGATAGTAAATTAATTAAAGTCACATTCGGCTTGTCGGATAACGATGTTGATTAATATACTAAATTTTTAGATGATAAGCTTTGTTATAACAAAATTTTGTGTTATTTAACAAAGACCATGTCAAATTATGAAATTCAAAAATAGTTGGCTATCAATGTCAGTCATGTGATTGCAAGCTCAATCATATATATCACTCATGGAAGCACAAACGTAGGGATTGACCACACATACCTTATATACTCTCTTTGTATGATAGTTGGTTCTTCGGGAGAGAATGGGGATGAGCCTATCTTTCCCAAGAGCAAAATTACTAAAATGGACATCCATTTCTACAATAATTTCAAGGAGATGGCTCCAATAGCCTACGAGCAACCTAGTAAATTCCACTGTAACTAACATTTTAACTAGTTTGTTTAACAATTCAAGATTTAAATACTATTTATTATATCATAAATGATGGTATTGGAGCATGAAAGATTGATAATAAAAGTGTACAATTTGTAATATTATATTAGATACAAAGTAACATCTTATTGTTATTGAATTAATCATGTATAAACATGAAGTGTCCCCAATTCTGAGATATTTTTAATATGATGATATTTATGATCATATATATATACCCAATAGTCAATGTACTTTTATGCTAACATTAATATGCCATCACATCAAATATTTTCATCTCTCTACATGGGACCCATTGGTATCATTTTATTGTATATAAATCTTCTTATATATAATCAATTTAATTAAAAAACACCTAGAGATTGCGATGGTAAACATCAACCTATGAAAATCTAACAATTTCTTATAGCCATTAATATGTGGGTTCATTGGCCCAAATAATCATTATCCAAAAATGTTCTAATAACAAACTATTGCATATAAACATACAACTTATATGTTATAGTTTTTTAAAGGCTATTTTTTAAATACTATAACTAGTTTTATTAACATGTCAAATATGGTTTGTTTATGCATGAATAAAGGTTATTATATTTAAGAAAGGTGAGATGTGGGAAAGTTAAATATTATAGCTATAGCAATGAATTTAATTTATGATAATTACGGTACAATAAACCAAGATAATTTATTCATATGATTTATTATTTCATTATGAACATAAGAAATGTGATCTAATGGCATATGTATAAGACTTCTACTAAAGAATGATATATATACATATATATAAATATATATATTTGTAATAAATAATAATTATTTATCTCAATGTAAAAAAAATAAGATTATAAATTCAATTAAGAAAATATCCACTTAATTGCATGAAAAAAGGGCCCTACATAAATGAACTTTCAATTAAAATCTAAATTATAATAAATAAATAAATGGATGATAACATAAGGCCAAATCTTACTTAAACCTTACTGCATATTGCCTTAAATAGATGCATTGAGAGTCTCTACTTGAGCTTTTATGATGTAGGTTACTCTAAATTTAACCTTGTCTAATAAATATCATTTTAATTATATTAAATTTGAAACTAAGTTATAACTTTTCTTAATCTATTATATCAATAATTATAATGAAAATTTATTACAACTAGAAGAACATATCTAAACCCAATTTATCATTAGTTAAGAGCAAAAGAAAATTGATGACTACTTTCTTGAATTATTTAAGTTAGAAAGTATATCGTCATATGTGAGGAAATGAATTAGAGGTAGAATAAATAGAAGGAGTTGAGGGAGGTTAGTGGTTGTTAGCCAAAGAAACAAGAGTGTTATTAGCTAGTACTTTGAGAGAAGGAAAATGCTTAATCAGAGAAGTTCAACAATTATGAAGACAAGAAATCAAAGAGTAGAAGAAGGCCAAGTGTCGACCCTTATATCATGACTGAAAATGGTAGGGATGAGCAAAATAATATTCTCTTGTGCAAATTGTGTAGTGAAGAGGGCTAATATAGAGCGAGACTTTGTAATGATTTTGGGCAGTTGGAGCTACATTAGTTGAGATTGCACTTATCAATATGTCCAAATTATTCATCTAGTATATTTCCATGATATTTTACGCCTTTTAAGAATTTTGTCATAAAATTCAAATCATTTTAGAAAAATAGAGGGTACTTCATGATCATTACTTCTTTAGTCTCTTATGGTGTTGTATGCTTTCATAGGCTCTTCCAAAGCACTATGATAAACATAATATATAAGACTTTTGTGGTATGTATGTAAAATTCCCATTTTAATATTTGACCACAGCAATTCCAGTCTTTACTAACCCAATTTTATTGGGCGGTTGAAATGGGTTTCCAACGGTCATTTCGCGGACAGAGTTAAACTTTTATTTCGTAATTTCTCCAATTTACCCAATCAGAGAACTAAAAGAAAGTTAACGGCTAGCAGAAATCACAAAACCCAAATCGACAAAAGGATTATTTCGTAATTTCTCCAATTTCTAGGGACTCTACAATATAAAGTATTTTAACGTTCTTCTCCGGAAATATCCAAAGTCCCAACTTTGGATCCGTCGCGGCGATTACCCCGATTCCCAAATCAATCCGAAGATAAAGCTCTAGTTTCTTCTTCTCACAGTTGCGCAAAAGTGTGGTCGGGGAGAGAAATTGAAAGATAGGAAGAGGGGAACACCATGGATGCGACTAAAGCGCCTCCTTTTTCGGAGAAGGAGAAGGCTTTACCGGTCGAAGCCCTTGGATTCGGTGAGAAGTCCAGAGGGAGAAGAGGAGAGGTCGACACTTCAGCTCCTTTCGGATCGGTTAAGGAAGCTGTAGAGCGATTCGGAGGGAGCGCCGTCTGGAATTCCCAGCTCAAGATGCTCTTTTTGCCCGAAGTGAGTGTACATCTTGGACTCCTTACTCTGTTTTTGGTGTTTTTGTTTCTCTATTTTGCTTTGTTCTTACACTTTCATCATCAAGTTCTTGGCATTTCTCGTTTTTGGTGGCTTTTTTCTTAACCTTTTAGAATTATGCCTTTCAAGTACTGTATGAATATATGCAAAGCTTATTGACTACTTTATGAAGAAGTTGCGTGACTGCTAATTTTTCTTCATGACTGGGTGTTTAATTACTGTTAAATAGTGCATTTTAAATTTATACTCCTTGCTATATTCATATTAAGATGGTATTTGTTTGGGTATGTCAATCAGTTCATGTCTCAATGCACTATGATCATCTTTACTTAGTTAACCCATGTGTTGGAAATAAATCATGCCGAAAAAAAAAACTCCTGAAAAAAAAAAAAAATCTGAAAACTGCTTGTAAGGCTGTTTTCAACACCATTTATTCTCTGTAAGTGGTAGAAACCTTTGTCAGAGAACACAGATCTGAGATCTTAATGTAAAATAAGTGAGAGTGTGAACCTTTTGTGCTTGTGAAACCCCTTAAGAAGAATGAAGCTGAACTCTTAAATATTCGGGTTTCTTTTGGTGTAATGGTTAGAATTTCATCAATAACTCAAAATTTAAGTATGCTCATATGCGAACACTCGAGGGATGGGTGACCTCTTGGGAAATTACGTGAATGAGACAAAATTGTCAGGCTTTTCAGCCAAAGAGGACTATCTCGGTGGTGAGAGTTCGGGCTATACAAATTGTATCAGAGCGTTACACCGGCTTAAAGATGGAAACTATGTTTCATGCAAAATAAGGTGTTAAGTCATGGGAGCTACCTCTTAAATTATAGATGGGACAAAGTGCTACATAGTTGGAGTCACCTCTATAATCATATTTGCTTGGTGAATAATTCTTTGTTTAAGAGCATTGACGATGATGTCAGTTTCTTGAGTGGGAAAGCTTGTGAAATCCCTTAGTTGAATGAAGCTAAACTCTACAACATCTAGGCGTCTTTTGGCGCAATCGTTTCATCACCAACCCAAATTTAGCCATGCTCGTATGAGAGCACCCTTTTTATGGGTGACTTTCCGAGAAGTTACACCAATGGGACAAACCGTGAGACCATTTTGAGAAAGTGAACAATATCCCGATGGGTGCGAGTTTGGGCTGTTACAACAAGCTTCTCTATGATAAATTTCTCAAATGATTTCTATAACCATAAATTTCTTAACAATCAATTACCATCTGTTTTTGTTCAATCATTGTAGGTTTTCTCTTAGCTAATCATTTTCTATAGAACATCAGAAATTGAGTTTTGTTGATTTCAAATTTTGCCAGTGTGATATAATATTAACTAACAAAAAACTAGAATAGGATGTGATATTAGTCATTCATTCAAACATGTTGGTGCTATAGTATTCATATCTTGGTAGTCATTTTTTCCATTTTTCTTGTTTTGCTACCAGGTTCTGCACCTCGTTGTTTCCAAACTTTATACAACAACATCAACAAAGTCTTAATCCCACCACGTGGGGTCGGCTATATGAATCATTTTCTCCATTGCATCCTATTTAGTGTCTTATTTGCAAACTTTATACAAAATATGAAAAAGAAAATGTTGAGTTTACCAAATTTCAAAGGATATGTCAAACTATAATTTGCAAATAGCTTATAGAATTTAGTAGTCTTTTTCTACGCTTGAGGCCGGTGATCCTTGGTTTAGCCATTGTCGCGCTCATCTTAAGAGCACTCAACATTTCAATATTGTTCCCAAAAGAATCATGGACGAGTTTAAATCATGCAGTTCAATGAATCTTGAAAAAATATTATATTTTTTTCTCCTAAATATACTCTGGCTTTCCTCTCAGAAACGTCATCGTTTTGAGGAGTTTAAGGTTCTGAATGTGGAAAAGCAGGCTGACCAATCTGAAAAAGGTCTCTTTGTAAGAGAACTGGAAGTTCCCAAAAGAATCATCCATGACTTTGAATATCAATTACAGAAAGAAGAAACCTCTGAAGTCAATAAGATCTCCATGGCACCTTCAAGTAGTCAAAATTTTCATCCTTTCTCGAAAAAGGAAAAAGATAATCTTTCTACAGTTGCAATGAATGCAGGCACAGTTACAGGGCAATCTTCAGGTTATATTTTAGATGAGCTAGAGCTGGCGAAGATGAATCTGAGCAGAACTACTTGTGATCTGACAAAAATCCGAGCTTTCATCGAAGCACTCTACAATGAAATAGACAGCGAGAGAACAATCCAAGAAAAAACGCCTGAAAAACTTTCTTCGCTCGGAACTATCGTTTCTTTCCTCGAAGAAGATCTGAAGAAAACAACATTGCAGCTACAGATCAAAAATGATAACTTGAACAGGAATTCTGCTGATATCTCTCGAGAGATCGAGCAACTGAGATCGCAAACGGAACAGTTCAGGCAAACAGCAACAGCTGCGAAATCCGAAGCATCAAATTTAACTTCTGAGATCGAGATGATGCAAGCTGGTATCAAGACTGCTGAAATCCGGAAACTTGCCGCTAAGAAGATGGAAGAAGCGGCTAAAGCCGCAGAAGCTGTCGCAGTTGCTAGGATTAAGGATATAATGAATGGCAAGAGCTCCAAAATAGCGCCTGAAGAGCATTATGGTTCATCCAGGAAGAAAATCGAAGCTTTTTCTTCCATGGCGGATGTAGAAACACCAAACCTGCCTAAGCTGGAACTGCTAACAAAAGTGAAGGAAGCTGCAGCAGAAGTGAACACCAGCAGGAAAGCGTTGGAAGAAGCATTAACCCGTTTAGAAGCTGTGAACAGTGGGAAGATTCACTCCAGTTCTATTAACTTAATGGACTGCTCGTACTCCAAGATGATCGAATTTAATGGCTTCGACTTAGCTAATCATACAACTTCAAAGAGTAGATTTAAGCACGCGCCATCTATAGGAGAAATACTTAGTAAAAAAATAATGGGCTTGGAAGAAATATGTGTAAGTCCAGATGAGAAAGACAAAGCTAAGGTTTCTCTGGGCCAAATACTGAACAGAAAGCCGGGACTTCTGCCTCCTCTTCTTATTGCTGGATTTGCTCGCAAGCAGCAGCCTTCAAAGAGAAAGGGAAAGAAATCTGGGTTTGGGGGTTACTTAATACTTAATAATGGGTTGAAACAAAGCATAAAAAATTAAATTTGGGATTTTTGGAGCCTTTCATGGCTCCTTAAAAGAGTTGAGCACCATAGAAAAAAGTGCAGCTGGGGTGAAGAGAAGGGAACGCCCTTTTCCAGGTTATCGAAAACAAGTTTCTGTAGCATATTCTTTGATGTATGTTATTGTTAGTTATAATGGTTCAAGTTCTAGCTTGTAATTGAATAAGTTTACCTTGTATATTTGGTGTATGGCCGGTTATATTACTTTTGTATTTATATGTTATCAGCAGCCTTTCGTGTATCCTGTTGCCCTTTTACTTCTTTCAATCATTGAAAGCTTTGTGTTTGTTTCAAGAGAGCTTGGATGAGTGGTTAAAGTTTCAAGGAAAATCAGTGAACAAAAACTGTGAAAAAAATTGAAAGGTATAAACCGGTGGTGCTTCGGAATGATTGAATTAAGGGGCATTTACACACATACACACATGTTTTATATATTTACATGTGTTGGTTTTATTTTTCACTGTTTCCGAAAAAAAGAGGTTTATTGCATTGTAGACTCTCTACGTTTTTTCTCTTAATAGTCGTTTTTGTCGTATGTCCGTCTTTTCCGGTCCTCTTTTTTCCTGATCATTCACATGATTCGGAAGAGAGATTTATTTGGAAAAGAGAAATATATAATGATGGACAAACTGACGACTCCTTTAAAAATAAAAAGAGAAATGAATGAAAACAGGATCATCAGATGAAAAATTGGAGACGACAGCAAGGTTTTGGTTCTCGACTAGGCTTGGATCTTTGATAAGGAGTTGAATAAGTGACCCGCATTTGTTAGTGTGGATGTTACAGAAAACCTCCATGTGGTTGATTTGTTGGGTATCGATGGGTGGAGCATGGTGAGGCTTCAAGCTTGCTTCAGTCAGCTCTTGTGGGAGCAAATTCTGACAATCTAGGTGGGGGGAAATAGGAGTACGTATATGTCGAAGCTTACCCAGGTTCTCTCGTGAAGAACCATTACATCCCTTATCTTCGTTGCATCTTTTACTGAACAGGAGGGATTTTTATGGATGCATAAGCTCTCACTCCTCCCATGTGAGAGTAGTTTTTTACTGAACAAAAGGGGGAATTAATAGTTGGCTCGTTGGTCGGAAGCATGCGAATCACAAACAAGTGACATTGGGGTTGCCCGAAAGAGGAAGATGGAAGTCATGTAATTGTGTCCTGCAGGGTTCTCAATGAAACTACCTGCTTTGAATCATTTAATGATGGGATAGGACAACCTAGCATTATCGGTAAAACTTTCATCCCAAATGCCCAGATTTTCTGTCATGTGATTCACCAATGTTGGAGGCAAGAAATGTGAAGAGACATGGTGCATACTTTTCTACTCCTACGGTTATGGTTGCTACCAATTTGGAGAATGTCACCAAGACTCACTCGTTCCCCATTCTGGGGTACTGGGGTACTAGCCAGTCTCAGCGGTTGTCCTTATCTCAAGGTGAATGTGGATGGGCCACTTCTTCCTAACTATTGTGTGGGTACTGATACAATCCTCCGTGAGAAAAATGGTAAGCTTCTTCATGCGATGGGGAGACAGTTTCTACGTTGGGATTGTGTTCAAGTGGAACTCCAATCGATCATCACTTTGGAAGAGATGTTTCAATCTTAGTTGCGGAGACTAAGGACCTTATGGTGGAAAGTGACAACAATAACTTCCTTAATTTTATGAGTAGATCTATGGAGCAGAGGGCCTGGATGGTGATCCCAGAACACTAATAGGTCATTTTTTGTTTTATTCCTCGAGAGCACAATTGAGCTACTCATTTTTGTGTCCAAAGGGCCCTTACTTATAGTTTTTCCTTTGATACAGTACCTGGATCTTCGGAACTTTTTGCTATTCTTCCGGATGATATGATCATTGTTGCACAAGTCCAATGACCTATTTTTTTTGTACCTTTTTTGTACTCCTTTTATTTTTTGATTAATGCAATATGCACTAATAAAAAAAAACATTTGTTTATGTTTTAGAAAGTGAATCTTCCATTTTTCAAGGCGCCACATCTTTTTCTTTCTTTGTTGTAGAAATAGAATGACAAGTGTCACCACTAAATCTTTTGCAAATTTGCCCACAATTTTCTTGTCATAATCTACCCATCTAGTCGAAAAGACTATCAACTACCTAATGGGTTGAGATGAATTGATAAACTTAGAGTTTATCCAGCTAGTATTAAGATGTTCATAATAATATTCATCTATGAATAATAAAATGGGAGCATCTAAAAATTCATGATATCAAAGTAATTGCATCATTAATAATTGGACTGAAATATAAACATTGCAATAATTCATCTAAGAATGGATATAAACTACAAATAAAACTAAAAAATGACTTTATAAACTTAAGCAATTACCCAAGCTACTTTAAGTACATGCCTATAAGCTCTTCTTTCATTGATGCATAACTAATAACCTAAAATCTTAAAATAATGGGTTTTAATTTGTAAGAAGTTATTAGATAAAATAAATTAAGAAAAGTATAAATCACAAGATGAAGGGCATGAATATAGTCATTATTCTTATGGAGTGGCATAATTTGTTTTCAACAATTTATTTAGAACTTGTTTCTTCAGCCTGGAGGCTTGTTACATCATATTTTCTTTTCTTTCTATTATAATTCAGAATTGTTTTAATTACTAATTAGTCATCATATTTAGTTGTTTTTCACTTTAATAACTCATAGTCAGTAAGGTATAGCCTTTTGGAACTAATTGATTGTTTTTTTCTCTGTGGCAAGCTTATGCAGGATCGCCAACTTTAGAAATCATCATTTTACTATGTACAGGAACAAACAAAGGTGGAGGCTCCTTTGCTCATCGAGGGGTATTTCTTGTTATGTATTGTGTTCTTGCAGTCATATGAGCAGTTCTCAACACATTTGCATTGCAAGTTATCGCCTTCATTGACATTATTTCAATTTGGTGGCAGGTTAAAATCCATGCCAAAATCAGTAATCTAATGCTCGAAAACGATGATTCATTTATTTTGTTGGAAGCCAAATTGAAGCCAACTTGAAGCCAACTTGGAGTCACTCCTTCAAGCCATTTGAAAGCCGCTTCCAAGCCAATATTTCTAATCCTTGCCTTCCCTCCAAGTATCCACATATGCTAAAAACCTTCCTTAGTGAAATCTCGCCATTTTGTTTTCAAGGCGTTTATTTAGTTCCTATGAATCATTTCCCACCATTTCCATAGCCTAAAGCAATCCCGAAATTAGGATTCCTCCAACACTCATTGTCCTTTGTTTGAATTCCAAATTAAATTGATTCATTACATTCCTCCAATATGAGATGAAATTAAGTTTTTCCGGCTCATATAAATAGAAGTATTCAGGAAAGAACCCAAAGAAGAGGGAAGATGAGAAAACAAATGTAAATCAATGAGAAAAGCCCTTAAATAAAGAAGAGGGAAGAGGAGGAAACAAATGTAAATTAATAAGAAAAACCCTTAAATAAAACGAACGCACTTGAAAGCCTAACTTTTTTTCTTGCAAAGAGGAAAAATAAGAAGAGAAGAGAAACCCAAGAAGGTACATAATGATAGAAAAACATACCGACAAAACCAAACAAAGAAATAAAAAGAAACTCTAAAAAAATTCTTCCTAAGAAGAGGAACAAGAGCAAGAAGAAAAAAAGTGAAAAAAAAAACCCTGAAAGGGATCTAGAGAAGATTAACACACTCGAAGAAATCAAACATTGAAGCGAAGCAAAGGAAAATTTTCTTGATGAAATGAAAAAGGAATCCATGAAGAAAACCTAAAAACACCTTCTAATTGATAGGGCTCCTCAAAACTCAAGAAATTAGCCCGGGATTTCTTCTACTAATTTAATATACATATGACATTGTAGCGATTTTATTATAATTAAAATTTTAATAGAAATTTTCTCATAGGCAACGAATTACAATAAAAAATAATTTAATGCATCGCATATCTAAAAATTTAACTGAAAGATTTTTATATGTATCAACACCTGTGTAAACTTAAGATTTAAAATATTTATATTTATTAATATGAGTTAAATATTTTTTAAAATCATATAGTTATATTAATATCGGTGAAATATTTTAATATTATAAAAATAAAAAAATAGATATTAAATATATAAATTTATAAATTATTTTTATATAGCATTAAAAATAGTATTAATATAAAATTTAGAAGTGATATATATATATATATATATATATATATAATTGAAATATATTTAATATATATATATATGTAAATGGATGAACTAAGTGGGGCATATAATCTTCCATTAATTTATTGTGCTTCCGATTCTTTACGGAGTCTTCCTCCTCCGTCGTCTCGTCGCGTCAACGACATCAGGCCGTTTTTTTGTTTGGTCTTCTGCGGGCAATTTGTACAACTTCATATACCGATTCTTTCTTCTTCTATTCGGTATCTATTGATTTACTAAGCGCTCATCTTCTCCATTTCTTTTATTATTTTCTGAACCCTCGATTTTGATTTACTGCTTCAAATTTTGAGTTTTGTGGATTATTTTTGAATTGATTGTGGGTTGCGATGGAGCTATTGAAAGTTTGTGTTGTTTGCAGTTCCACTGTGCTGATGTAATATGTGCTATTCCGAGAGAAACTGTTTAGAAATTGAAAAGAAACTATATTTACTAAATCCAGGGTTTAAAAGTTGTCATTTTTTTCTTTCTTGCAAGATTTAAGTTAAATTTAAGTTTAATATGAGTTCAGCTTGTGTTGGTCTTTAACTAAAGATGAACCAGGGAATTCAATTTGTAACTGACCTTTTGCCCTATGTATCTGTAACTGGTTTTACTAAATTTATATTTGGCTAAATATTTGAAATAGGCTTTTATTCTCTAAAAAAAAGAACTTGAATCAAAAGCTGATTTGTGTCATGGTTTTTCCTCGAGGAACCCGTTAAAGAAAATATTATGATGTTTTCTTGAAACTGCATCCTACTTGTTTGATTCTGATAAAACTATTCAGAAGAAAACGACTTGGTAGCCAAAGAAAGATATTTTTTGGTTCAATTTTGTGTGCAATTGTAATCAAGGACATATGACTGTACAAAAGCTTAGGATACACAATAACTTTACGTTTTACAATTATACGATCCAGATCTTTCATATTACATTCAAAATACCCCCTTTTTAACTTTTAAATGGTGAAATACATCATTTTAACTTTTAGAAGATTAGGTGTTAGATATGTGCATACATAGAATTGAGTGATATACATGTAAATCTTACAACATTCTTTTGATTTGGCATTGTGATAGATGGGAGTAGGCTTTGACATCCAAATATAGCATCATTAAAAAAATTTCAGCTCGGGTTTCCTCGTAGTTAACTCTTTAGAACTTTTTTAGTGTGATAACTACGTCAACAACAATCCACTGACTGTTTTCACATATCGCATGATCCAGGAAATACTACTAAGCTCCTAGTAGGTAACATATGCCACACCTCGTGGAGCTTTATCTTGATAAGAAGTCTGAATCCAATGATCGTCATCCTTTTGTCACCACAACAATGGGCATTTGACAATCAGTCTTTCCTCGTAGTTTACCCACATCAAGTGGTTAACTCTTTCTATTGCCTTTCTGCCAATAAGCATGTTCACCTCCTACCTTTTTGCCAAATTTTTAGCTAGCAGTGGGGTGGAGCAGCCAAAGAGATTACTCGGAGAAGCATCTAAAGCCCTTGTGAACCCAATGCCTTTTCGTACTTTGTAAACTATAAATCTCTTTAAATATTTTAGGAAAAACTTGTTATCATCTAACACGTGCAGCAGCCATTAAGAACGTTTTGAGTAGGAACAAAGCACCCATATCCAAGTGCTATCTTTTTAACATTCAAGTAATTAAAATACAAGAATAGTCCATTTTCTTTCCATTTGTTGTGTTGCTATTTTTCACTCTCAAATTCTCTCTCAATCTCTTCTCATTTCTATTGGCATTTCAATTTATCTTCAAAGTTAATGCTAACATAACTCTTGAGGGCATTCAATCTTGACATTAACATCTGGTGGTTTTATTAAGATGACTGCTAAAACCAAAAAAATACATCATATAACAAAAAAGAAAAGTACTATAATGTTCGTTTGACTCTTTGCAATAACCCATTTTTAGTCTCTGAGCCAATAAAATGTCAATTTAGTCTCTAGATATTTTTAAAATGAGATGAAATAGCCCATACTTTTTGAAGTGAGGACTATTTTTAGACTTATTAAAAAATTATGGGGACTAATTTAATACTTTGGTAGACTCCTTGAGTAAAATAACCCCATATAAGTTGTCATGGGACTTTTTTGACAATTTGCTCTATGACAAAAAGGAAATTTGATGATAACTTTTCATCAAGATCTTTTGGGGATGCTAGAGGGAGAGATGGCTTATATCATCCCCGCTTCATGCATGGTTGTACAAGAAGATTTCACTAACATGATTCAATTCTTTACTAGCTAGGTCCTATAAACTTGTTCTATTTTTTAGGCAGGAGGACAAAAAAAAGTACTCTCATGAGACAAACAATGCTTGTGGAAGAAGAAGATAGCAAGGAAATTCCCTTATATTTTGGGATTAACATGAGATCTATAAGAGTTTATTTCAACACCTTTGATGCAGTACTAAAATGAGTAGATATTGGTAAGATTTGTAGTGCATGGATTTATTTGTAATTGGGAAATGGATAATTCTCTCCTTGCCAACTTAGAAGTCCCTCAATTAGAATTTTATCCTTGACTTGCTTGATGGAGTTTCTTGTTGTGTTTTAAGCCATGATAGACATGTATATGTTATTCAATTTTTTAATATATATTACTAAGAGAGAATTTATAATTCTTTAGTTGAGGCAAACCTAATGTGGGATAATGTGACTAGTTTTATCAAAGAAATTATTATTAATTTATAAGAGTCTAGAAATAAATTTGTATGAGCTTGAGCTAAACTTTCACAAATATGTTCATGCTTTGCTTGACTAAAATTTTTAAATGCTTACACTTATTTTTCTTCATTTTAATTGAACAAATACCTCAATAAATTTGTAAGCAAGTTAAATTTTGAATTAGTAATTGACATTTCATATAACATTATTAATAAATAATTTTACAAATCTAAACAGATGAGCAGTTGAATAAATGTCGAATTAGTATCTAACTATTTATACCAATTAAAAAAATAATATTAAGTTGCAAGTATGCAATAAAAAATATAAATAAATATTAACAAAATATTTTATTAAAATACAGATAAAAGAAGGAATTTTATTAAGATAAATTGGTATTAAATTAGAATATGTTACTATTAAATATATAAGTAAATAAATTCTAATTAATCAAATTTATATAGATAATATATCATATATTATATAAGCTATCATTGACATTATTATAGAGCATTTAACAAAACACTTGTTGAAGAATAAATGAGCTTTTTCATGGACATAAATAAATTATTTGGACCATGTTTAAGTTTGGTTCATTTAACCTTTGAGCTTTTAAAAAAAATTAAAATTTATTTATTTACTAATTTGACAAACTTGGTCGAGTGTTAATCAAGCTAAGTTTGAGTTATTTATAGCGATTGATATATATTGATTATAAAATGCTAAAAGTCTGTAAGGAGATTAGTTAGCAAAACAAAAGCTATAATACTTGATGATTTGTACAATGGATTGTTACTACAAAGAAGAAAATATTATATATAGATAGCCAAAGCATTAGATAAGAGCTCTGGAGACTTTGATTTTACGTTGCTGAGAAAAAGATCCAAATAGTCTCTATATTATTTATACAGAGTCATTTTGTCCTACACTATAAATGTATTTGATTAGCCCCTTGAATCTTCAAATATTATCTGAAATAATCTCTACTAGATTATTTTGGATTATATCTAAGGTGGCAAGGGATTATTTTAAATTAGATTTGAGGATTTAATGGAATAAATTGAATACATTAGATAGTTTGGTATTGAAGCATTCCTCATAAAAAATCTGAAAACTATTATGACCTAGTTTTCTTATTGTATGTATTAAGCTAAGTTATCTATAAAGGCATGAAGTAAAGATGAAAATCTATAAAATTATTAAGCAGAATTTTTAATTGAAGAAATCATTTTTATGTAGTGTAATAAACAAAATAATGAGATGTATTATATACTAATACCGAACAAGTAAAATGGAGTTAGCTCTTATGAACAGATATTGTAACAAAGCTTTTGTTCAACTAAGATTCATTTTGAGATTTGGAGAATTGCTTCGTTAAAATTCATTTTGAATGAAGTTTTGAAACCTAAGGGTATGATTGGTTTAGCTCCTTCGTGCTTTGCTTTTTATAACGCCGCTATACTTCTATTTGGTTCTTTCTTTGTTGCTGCTTTTAGGAAATTTTTTTATTAGAAAAGTTATTTTTTATAATCAAATTTGTTTGTATATGGTAGTTGTAATAAAGCTACTGTCAAACCTTTAAAAAAAATTAAATATTTATAATACCCACAACACTCTTAAAAAGAGTAGCTTTCCGCATTGCTGCTTTATAGCCACATTTACGAGATTGCTCCAAGCAAATTGTAAGAGGTTACTAGAGGATTTGAGAAAGACATTTTTTGCTCCAATGTTTAAGAGGAAAGAAGTTGTTTATGATCTTTTAGCATGCACTTCACTAAAGATAAATGTTGATTCAGTCTTTTCTCAAATTGTCTTATTGCAGTAATGTTGAAGTTACTAGGGTATCTTTTGCCCAAAATGACACTCAACTTAATTGTTGTTTTTTATGGCAGAGATTATGGGTTCTAAAGCGGCCCTGATTTTGCTTGGAATCATGATCATCGGTTGCACTTACATTGAATCCAAACATTTTGTGCACATGGATATGAAGGGTAAGTTGTAATTGTGCTAAATTTTGTCTTTTCATGAAATTTTTTTCTGTTTAATTTTCCAAGAGAATTACATCTGATATGTTTAGATTGTGTTTTGTTTGATTGAAAGCAATTAACTTCCTTGTTTACATGGCTTACCAGTGATTGAAGTTACTTTGTAAAATTCTAAGATGCACTAATGGTATGCATTTAGTGTTAAATTGCACATTAAGGTGCTGTATCATGGTGCAATTTTGATAGAATTTTTAGATCTTCAATTGCTTATGGATGTAGACTTTGATGTTAGAAAATTCGATTACAAGAGTAACATTTTAGAGTTTCCTAAAATGGACGGTTAACTTAAAATTTTGGTTATTATTATTATTTTTTTTGAGGCATTTAAATCATACCACCTAATTCCTATGTATTTACATATCAACACCTAAAATTTTACTTTTTACTTTTCTACCACCCAAATCTTTTATATCACGTCAAAAATACCATTATTTTAGCTTTTAAAAAGTGAAATACACATTTCCATGCATAGGTAATGTGGAATATATGCAAAAGTTGAAGTTTAGGTCTTGTAAATACATAAGAATTGAGTGGTATGTGTGTAAATCTTACTTTTTGTATTTAATTAGAGCTTGGAAAGATTAAAATAGTTCAAATAGAAAGATCATTAATGATAGAGTTAGCAACAGATCAAACATCTGATCAGGATACATTCTAATTTAAAGCTCAATTTGATCGATCACCATCATCTTGTTCATCATGCAAATTGTTATAATCTAACCATGATTAGTCTTCAGAGCTATTGTTATTATTATTTTAGTCCTCTGCCTTCACTTTTTTAAAATGCCACAATCATATTCATGAAGAATAATGGGGTTTTGGAAGCTTTGACCTGAAAATAGTACTTTCATGTATTTGCTGCCATTATCAATCAAATTTTGAATAAATAATTTTTTTATTGTTTAAGAAAAAATTCAAGCTTTCTTGTTAAGGGAGAGAAAAAAATCCAATCAAGTAGATTTTCAAAAGATTGTTCTCTATCTTTGTAGAAGAAACAATTAATATAGCTAGAAACGTCTTCATTAGTAAGATTATCCTTAATCTATAAGTCATAATATATTGTTGTTAGTATCATGCAAAATTAAGTTTTGGAGTTTTAAAATAAGGCTTACAATTGAGTATCATGCAAAATTTAATAAAGATCTATCATAAAATTATATGCTAACAAAGTGTGTTGCAATTTGAGAAGTATTATTATTATTATTTTTAATTTACATTATTATGAATTAACCTTTTTTGACGATGTGTGTTTGGACTTAGAATGCTTAGGATTAGATTTGATTTCAACATACATGATCTTATTTTTGTAATACAATTTCTATAAACAAGAATTTTTGTAATACAATTTCTTAAAACTCCACTTGGTTTCCCCGCACAAACTCCATTTCTCTAGGAACATTAGATGACATTCATAGAGTCGTGAATTTTGTGCGGGGAAACCAAATGGAGTTTTAAGCCGTTCCACTGAAACATGTGCACTTGTTGGTTGCATAACACCTGGAAAACTCAAATAAAAAATGCATATTGAGACCCCAAATGGCAAAACAAATTGAATATAAAATTTCCTAGAGAACCAATTTACAAAGAACTCTTGAAAGACTCATATAAAAAGTCCACTTAAGAGTCCAAACAATAAAACATCAATTACCAGATAATTGAAATGCAATTTAATGACTAACACAATGAGCTAATATATCCAATACTTACCACTCACCAACTAAATCATCCTAATGTAATGCTAAGCCGTAGAAATTGTCTCAGTACCAAGGAAGTAAATATATAGAGGGTGATCTCATTCCATAGACATTCCGAAAATACTTAAAATGACACCATAAAATAGTGGTTATGACCATAGCCTTTTGACCAGGTAATTGCCGCCAAATGACACCTTTATATTACGATCATGTCCACAGCCCATACGTTCCCTAATGACTTTTACCGTTTGAGTTGTGAATTATAGAGATATAATTGATTGACACAATATTTTGTTAGCTAAAGCTGACTTAAATTTGTCTTCTTAGACAAATATCCACCCAAGATCTACAAGAATCTCTTGGGCGACACAACCCATTACTGCTGACAAGAATCATTCTATAGGTTGGGTTGACTACCTTCTTTGATTAAGTGGATCAGGGACCACGAGGACCCAGGATGACAGAATCATGAGATCTTGATTAAGTTTTGTCTTCATTTCCCTACCATTCGCTTTAAGCTTTAAGTGTTAAATTTTATAATTTAAATATTATACGTTCGTTGCTATTATATGTTAAATATTCAATTCTTAATAACTAGTCTTCTTAATCGAAAGTGTTTTAAGTGTTTTCCCATTAACGGGAGGGATAATTAATCATAGGGGTTTGCGCCTACGGAAAACCTCGATCCTCATATCAAAAAAAGTCCTTCAAAATGAGGGCGAAATCTTTAGGTACCGTCTTACCTGCAATCCAATTTATTTTCTGAAAATTTGACTCTTCAAAGCTCTTTCTCAACAAACAAAAATAAAAATAAAATGGAGGAAGTTGTGGAGAGTGGTAGGAATTTTCGGAGCTGACAGTTTAAAATATAAGTCCCCTAAAATATGAAAATTATATTCTTACTCTTCTTGAACTAAAGTCCTCCAATTTGTTTTAAACCAACAGCTCATGTTTAGGCATTCCTTAGGTTTTGAAGGGAAATTTTTAATCCCTCTTTCGTATTTATAGAACTTGATCACCTCAGCATTCATATTCACATTTTGCAATGAAGTTGACCAAAATTCTTAAGCAAAATGTGTAAATTTATTTTAAGAAAGAAATTAATTTCATTTTAGTGACATCATATTGTTTGAAGTTTTTAAGATTATAGTCATTTGAACTCCTATATATATAAGAATGAAAGTAATCTCTTTTACTGCTTTAATCATATTTCTTGTGATTTAGTGATCTTTCAGTTTTTTTTTTTTTAATAATCTAAAACCTTTCATTTTCTTCTCATACATTATTATTTTATTTTTTATCATTTAATGGAAAATTAGTCATCTGTGCTGTACCTGCTAATGACATCACGTCCACCTTATTCTTGTATTGAATATTCTTTATTGCCACAATTAGAACTCATCACCACCATCCATTATATGCTTATTTTGTCACTGTTTTGCAATGTGGCAATAAATCTGATGTTCATAATTTTATTTGCAAAACAGGAATTGCGACAAATGGCCAAATCTGCCAACTCTGTCAGGAATTCACCACTAAAGCTATATTCTTTCTGGGTGAAAATCAAACACAGACTGAGATAATCAACAATCTTCATCAAACATGTTACCACCTGTTTTCTCCTGATTTACAGGTTATTTCATGTTTTACAGGAGCATAATTTTGTTTCCTCTGCAGTTTCGTATATGTTACCTTTATATTTTTCTATCTTAAATTCAAAGTTTTGGTTTTTTTCCAGTGTATTCGGTTGGTGAACAGTTATGTGCCTCATTTCTTGGAGGAGATTGCCAAATTGCAGCCAAAACTGCTCTGTCAAAAGGTTAACCTGTGTGAGGAGATTCCAGTGATTCATATAATAAAACATGATGATCCGTGCACACTCTGCCATAATGCTGTTAATGAGGTTCTTACTAAACTGGAGGATCCTGAAACGCAGGTAATATTCCATTTTAATGCAGAACTTGCAAATTTGTGGAAAAGTTTCAATTCAATTACTTCTGAAAAATTAAATTCAGAATTTTCAATGGAGCACAGAGAATATGAAAATTGAATCAAACATCAATGCTTGTTTCAATTTTGTTTTGGTTTTGCGGGTAAAACCAATCTATAGGGGATTTAGTTTGGTTTTCTTCTATTTAGTTTTGTTTAAATTAGTTTTATTTAATTCCGTTAGATTGATAATAACCTAATAAAATCAAAGAAGTTTTGCAGCATGAATCTTGTATCCTTTATTGGATGAAACACATTGTGTTTTTGGATAACATAGCCTGGATCCATTTGGTTAACTAAGCTATCCAGTTTCAGTTCAAACCTAATCGATGGTCAAATTGATTTATTTTTTAGTTTGTTTTGATTTGTTGGTGTAAAAAAATATGGGATTGGGGTTGGTGCAAGCTGTAAATTGGCCAGTATAGGTGTGAAACTTACCGGTTTAGGAGTGAGGTGAAAGACAAAAAATACTCCAATGTTGCGAAGTTTATTGACAGTAATGTATAGCCCGAAATGAATTATGGAAATAAAAACAAGAGGTATGAAAAAAATAAAAAATCAAAATGGGGCATTTACGTAGATACCACCCAATTCCAATGTATTTACATATCTAACATGTAAACTTTTTTACTTTACATTTATGCCTCCCAAATGTCTTTATGTCATAAAAAAAAACTATCTTTAACTTTAAAGAGTGAAATGCTCCTTTTCATGCATATGTAAAGGGGCATGTATGTAAAAATTGAACTTTTGGTGTTGGGTATGTAAGTACATGAGAATTGAACTGTATATATGTAACTCTTCCAAAAAAAACTATTAATTGAGGTGGATTTTTCTGATCTTTCTGACACGTATAGATTGGCAAAGGTGCGATAAGCACACTGAGGGATGCGTTGTAACAAGCATGTGATATGTTTAGCAAGCATGCTTTACACCTATTATACTCTGCCTAACGAAATACAAACTTTTGCCTATAAACTGTGGATCATTATCAACCTTTTGTTTTCAGATTTCTGGTTAATAAATTTCTGCCATTTTTACCTTCTCCCTTGAATTGAATGTGGGCACTCTTGACATGAATTAGATTTTATCTTTTTTTTTCTGTTAATTTTTGGAAAGCGGTTTGTTGTTTAATGCAGTTTTTATTTTATTATATTTTATTTTTCAGCTTGAGGTGATTCAGATTCTCATAAAATTGTGCAACAAGGTGGAGAATTTTGCTCATGAGGTGAGCATTCTGCAACCAGCTTGCTGAGTTTGTTTAAAAGGCTGAAATTGCTATAAACTTAACACTTTTCATCATATAATTCATGCCAAAAAGCAGTCAAACAATGAGGATCTTAGCAAACATGAATAAAGTGTTAAAATAGTCCCTGACTATTTATATGGGGATTATTTTAGTCCCATAATATATAAAAGTGTCAGATTAGTCCCCATACATTTTAAATTTGGTGCGAAATAGTCTTCCGTGGGAATTTCAACTTATTTTAAAAAATTCTAAGACTAAATCGATACTTTTACAGACTTTAGGACTAAAATGACACGACAAATAGTAGACTATTTTAATGGACTATTTCGACACTTTATTACCATCTTCTATTTTTGAGAGTGCACGAACCGAATTAGATCTTTTTTGTTTTCCTGCTTTGTTTGGGGAAAATAAATGTGGGGCATTTACGTACATACCCCCCAATTCCTATGTATTTATAAATATATCACCTAAACTTTAATTTTTACATTTATAATAATCAAATAATTCATATCACATTAAAATAATGCTATTACTAACTTTCATCAAAAGGGAAAATATATCTTTCCAAGTATAGGTGCAGTGCTATAAATTTAGAAATCGAAGTATGGGCATAGATATGTGGATACATAGAAATTGTGCGGTATGTATGTAAATCTTCTATAAATTTATGGAGCGGAGAGGAAGAAACATTGCATCTCACAATCAAGTGTGTTTAAATTGTATCACTCATAAACATGACAAGTATTGCTCAAAATGTATGGCTTAGTTGAAGAAACACTATTTATCTCTCATACTATGTGGCTAACATTTTGATTAAAAAAAGAGACGTGTCAAAAAGGTCCTCCGTCACTCTGTAGGGATCCAATTTAGTCCCAGTCTAAAAAAGTGTCAATTTAGTCTGGGGACTAAAATAATCTTCTCTGACGATTATTTCAACCCATATTAAAAGTCTGGAGACTAATTTGCACTTTTATAAACTATGCGACTAAAATGATCCATGTAAATAATGAGTGGACTATTTTTGGCACTTTACTCGATAAAAAAGCCTCACTATTCTGTCATCATATTTCCTTCTACAGTGCAAGAAGTTCGTTCTTGAGTATGGCCCTATAATTATGGCCAATACTGAGAAATTCTTACAGAAAACAGACATCTGCACTGCAATACATGTTTGTAAAGCACACAAAGAAACTGATGCAGAACAACATTTGCTGTCTGCTTCTGCCTGAACTGGTTCTTCATGGAAGAATATCAATGGATGCTTGAAGCAGCTGCTGTAAAATAGCATTTTCTCTTGTAAGTAATAACAGGCTGCCTCATTGATTTATAAAAAAACAAGTTTTTGTGTAATGGCTGAATTCTGGATCTGTAACTTTACTTATTTGCATCTGTTGCAGCTGTGATATATGTAGTTTTTCATTCTAACCTTGTAAATAATATTATTTACTATTGTATGATAAATGTTTGGCATGATATGTGACTCCATGTTTGTTTACTTTTTTGGAAGTTTATTTGATTTTAATTTATTGGGCACTGGCTTCTGTCTTGGGGCCTTTATTATTACTGGGGCATTTACATATATACCACCCGAATTCAATTTATTTGCACACCTAACCGCTAAAATTTGCTGTATAAATTGTACCACCCAAATCTTTCATATCATATAAAAAATATCACTATTTGAAATTTTAAGAATGATCTAATAGAAGTGTGGAAATGTTTTAGAGATTTAGGAGTTTCTTGGCTTACTAAGTATTTTAATATTATTTTAAAAACTAAAAAGATGCATGAGGAATGGGAGAGGAGTAATTTGGTTCCCATTTTTAAGAATAAAAGAGATACAAAATAGTGGGCAAATTATAGAGGAATGAAGTTAATGTGTCATATATTAAAATCATGGGAAAGAATAATTGAATATGAGTTAAGACGCGATACAAAGATCTTTCACAATCAATTTGGATTTATGTCTGGCAAGTATACTGTGGTAGTTATGCATTTATTGATAGGTTTGATGGAGAAGTACGCAGATTACAAGAAGGATATGCATATAATTTTTATTTATTTAGAAAAACTTATTAAAAGGTTCTAAGAGAAGTTCTTTGGAGAGTTCTAGAAAAGAAATATGTTGATCTGACTTAATTCAAATGATTAAAGATATATATACTATATATGTTACTTGCATTCGAATGGAAGGGGGATTGACTAAGTATTTTTCTATTTTGGTTGGATTACATCAAGCATCAGCCTTAAATACATTTATTTTTTGCTTTAGTTTTGGATGGCCTTACTGGATATTTACAGGAGGATGTAGCTTGGTGTATGTTTTTTGTTGATTATATCCTTCTTGTGGATAAGAATAGAGAAAGAGTCTAGAAAAAACTTGAATTATGGAGGTTTACATTAGAGTGTGAAGGCCTTCGTTTAAGTTGATCTAAACTGAATATATGAAATATAATTTTATTAGTGATAGATCTGGTGACAGAGTTGTACCATTAGGTGACCAAATTCATTAAAATGTGTGAATGCTTCAGATATCATGTTCAAAGTCATGGTGATATCGATGGGATGCTATTAGTAGAATTCAAGTTGTATGGTTGAAGGGTACTACTTATACTTGAAAGAAAAATTTTATAAGATGATGGTGAGACCAGCAATGTTGGTCTTTAAAAGAGAAACATTAAACCTACGATGCACTGACACCTCTAAATAAGGAGTTGTGCAGTGTTTTGGACACTTCTTGAACACTGACACTCAGTGAAAAAAAAAGTTATATATGTAAATATGTAAATCTATATTAAATGTCGTCCATGTGATGATCCGGTAATGAGAACATGGGTGAAACCAGTTTTTTTTGTTGAGGGGGGCAAACTAACTCCCTAGACCCAACGTTGCATAGGATAGGACAACGATGGATAAAGTGATATTTCAAAAGAGACAAAAATGATATTTAAAGAGGGGCAAAAGACTGAATTACTCTTTCATATAGGTAAAAATCAGAATTTGAGAGGGGGGTGCAGTTGGCTCCCTGAATCCTGTGAGACTATAAGAAAAATAAAGATAAAATAATCTCAATTTATTAAAATTAAATGAAAATATGATACACGATAGGAAACAACTGAGAATAATCTTTTTTACTATTGTCGGAGCTATGGAGGAATAAAAAAAGAAAAGAAATCTCCATCTCTCTCCTTTCTGAACATTGTTGATAACCAACGCCGAAGCGCCAGTCAAGCCGGAGTTGTTTACCAACAATTTATTTCAAACACACCGCATTCATTCTAGACTGCATTTATTTATACCATGCCTCTCATCATCTTCCTCCACAATGAGAGAGTCACGTGGATTCTAAATATCGTCGCCATTAAAGCTCTGTTTTTTTTCTGCAGAAATTGCCTTTTCCAACAGTCCCCACAGTCGGCCACCGCCGGAAGCCGACGGAAAGTGCCGAGCCACGCAAATGCGGCCACGTGATTGGTCCGTGCGGACGTACCGTGATGGGCCCACCACCGCGTATGCTTTTTGCTTTCGTTCCCACCCCTCATTTTGGCTGCACGCGTCTCTCGCTGAACGGGAGAGCTGAGTTAAATTAATATTTGTAGGAAGACTTTAACGTTTTACATGCATCCCCACTAAATTTATATTATTTACATCTAAGACCTTAATGTCATTTTACCGTGTATTACCATTTTCAGCTCTGAATCATGTGTTTCACACGAAATTCTTCGTATGCAGGCAAAAACATATTCTTTCTTTGGTTTGATATTTTCTTAAAAAATAATTTGTTTATTTTTGTGAATATGCATATTAAATTAAATACAATTTCTTTTTTTTATTTCAATATAACTAATTGTTAATATTTTATTATTTGATTGTAAGGAAAACTTACTTTTAATTAATATTCTATTTTTTTAATTGATATGAAGTATTAAAATATAATTTAAAATTTTATTCAAATATTTGTTTGTTTAGATTTCTAAAATAATTTTAATTTAAAATTCAGATACTTTTCGAATTATAATTAATTTATTTATTTATTCAATATATTGCTCATTATATTGACATAAACAAATGAACTAGGATCATTAATAAATTTAAATAAGCCAAATGTGATGATATGTATATATGGAGCCGAACAGTACTGCTTCAGACTATAAAAGTCAAGCCTAATCCACGCCAGACTAAGCCCAACTTGTTTGGATTGCAGCACCAAACACGTCTACTTCAATGATTTCTTTAAGGACAAACATTGCAAAACCACCATTAACATAAACAACTTAATATTTGACGGGAATCCTCCACCAAGTAAATCGTGTGGGTTGGGATAAGGCTAATCCTTAGAGCTAATATGAAGGGCCTCTAATCAGCCTACAATATGACGTCCTTCTGAAAAGACTACAACTCCTTTATGAAAAGAGAAAAGCGAACTGTGAGGAGTTAATTCATTTAAGAAGCTTTTAATCATACAAATTTAAATAAAAAATTAATCTGTTAAGACAGAGAGAGAGGGAGAGCCCATAACCGTTGATGTGTGTTGCCTTTAACCATCCTTACATCAATGTAAGGCGAATTGAGCTCGATTAAACTAGGCATATGGCGTACTCAGATATACAAAATTAGGACGGGAAGTGTGTTAGAAAATTTGTGGTTGTGGAGTACACTAGATTATCGTCTTAGGGTTATACAAGAATTTAGCATGCATTCAGAAAGGAGAAAACAACCAATAGCGGCACTAGAAGTTTCTTATGTTAAAAATCCGTAAAGGGAAGAAGTGTAGGATTTAGCCCAATCGCAGAAATTCACTATGAATTTGGTAAATTTAGTTGCAACCACTTGTCCTACACACAAAAATGTTATAAGTTCTCCGAAGATACAACGACGATTTGCAGGTGAACTTATTGCAAAGAACGGACAACGACCGATAATGTTCAACGACGGTCAGCAAGTGGTGGTTGACGAAGGTCTATAGTGATTAACGACGGTCGATGACGGTTGGTGGTGCTCGACGGTGATCAGTGGTGTTCGACGACAGTCAACGGTGGTCGACTACATGAAGGATGTTGGACTTCAGTCAAGTTCTTCCTTAAGCCTCAAGGTCTCTTCCGGCTTCAAGCTCTCTCCTTTCTCTTTTGAGAGGGGTGGGGCTTTAGTTATAGAGTCTCGACTGTTATGAACGACTTTGATCGGGCAGCCTGGAGAGCATCCCTCGATCAGATGATATTTGATGGACATTTGAGTGTCTTAAAATTGTCACAATTAAGCAATTTTGGACTCGTTATATTTGTCTTGTTAAGACACTCGAATTGATATAAACTCGCTAGATTTGACATCATTTGACATTCTAAATATGTTCAGATAGTTTCAAGTGGTGGTTTAATGACTTGATATGAGCTTGATTTAACTCGGATTGGACTAATTTTGATATCATCGGATCCATCTCATCGAGCTGGTTAGTTTGACTATAAGTTTGTTGGAATCCGACTTCAGGATGACTTTTCATCAAAGCGAACGCTTCTTGAAAATATGCATCAAGATCCGTGTAACATCTCAAGATTCACGCCAGATGAATTTGTTCATGACATATCAAGGCTGTTGCCATTTTTTTATTTACTTTTAATTCAAATTCACTTGTGTGTTTTGAGAGCGGTTTGTAAGAAGAATAGGAGAAACTAAAATTAGATTATCTTAATGATGGTCGTCCAAGTTAATTAGTATCATAACAAAGCCCAATTCAAAGCATACACCTATCTTTTAATGAATGTTTTATTGTACCATCTTTTGCCCTCATATTTATCATGCAACATAGTTTTATCAATGTGGCTAGTATTTCAGATGAAATGAGTCCCATAACTTCTATTTGTAAAATAACTTCTCATGACAATCAAAAAAATCTCGCCTATATATATGTTATTCATCTCTTAACCTTCGAAGATTTTGCATTAATAAACTATTGAGCCAATTGTGTTCTCAAGATTATTTGGGTCATTGATACTGTTAACCTCAATATATATTTAACGAGTTAAATCAATTGGAATCATCCACTACTCCAATTTCAACAAATTTATATGTCGAACTGACCGGCTCAACGAAACATATCCAATGGTGTCAATATTGAATCAACTTGAGCCAAATTGTTTTTGAAAGTTTTCAAGATACATTTGGAAGATCAAAGGAATATTGAATCCAACAATTTCGTAGTTGAATCAAGTGTCTCAATAAAACAAATACAATGAGTCCAAAACCGCTAAATTCTAATATCGTTGAGGTCTTGTAGGCAAATAATGACCGAAAAATATAAAAATTTGAAATTTGTGGATACCACAATCAAAATGGTCATGATGATCTGCAGGTGAAAATTATAAATATTTTTATTTGTTTTAATAACTGTATAATGTTATATTATCATATTTTTAATTTTATTTTTTTATTTGAAACCGAATGCTTTTCCAGTATTCGGACGCCACGTGTCCAGACGTATGGAAAGAAGCTACAATTGCGTGACTATGGAACTAAGGGCTAGTCTAATTACTTACAAAGAAGTCACATAAATTTTAATTTTTATATTTATACCCCTGAAATGGCTTCTATCTCTTGAAGTTTAGATACAGGTTTGTAAATAGACAAGAATTGAGTGGTATGAATGTAAATCTTCCAAAATAAAATAAACAATTGCTTATCTGCTTTTTGTGTAATTAAAATATTCCCATTAATTTATCACCGGGGCCCACGCTATAAAATAGTCTAAATATAAAAAATTTAATAAAATATTGCAACTTATTCTCTGCCACTCAATGCAGACCTCATCTTACCAAAATTACAAGTTTGTGTGATAAAAGTATGGCTGCCGTTAAATAAATATTTTTTTTAAAGGCATTTACATACATGCCACCCGATTCTAATGTATTTACATATATTTAAGACCTAAATTTTTCTTTTTATATTTATACCATCCAAATTTTGTACATCAAATAAAAATATCATAATTTATAAGTTTTAAAACGTGAATTACACTTTTTCATGCATCGGCAATGAATTGTGCATGTAAAAATTGGTGTTAGTCATAGAGTTTATAAGTGTAAAAATATTCATCTAATTCTTTAAATTGAAGCTGAAATAGTTCTTGTATATGACTATTAGGTACCAATTTTAAAGTAGTTGGTTATTATTTTGACAATTCTATAAACTCTGAGACTGAAATGACCAAATCATAGACTATTTTGATACTTTACTCAAATTATATTTTAGGGTTTAGAGTAGCCTCAACTTCTATTCTCAAGTGTCTATATTTTCATAACATTTGTAAGGTTGTCTATGTTTGATTGCAATTATTTTGAGATCTTAAGTAATTAAAAGAAGATGAAGAATACCAAAGGAACTCATAATATCTTCTCATTAAGAAATTATCATGGAATAAGTTTCAATCTCATTGTGATATTTTCCCCAAATATGTTAGACCTTATAATATGGAAATTGTTAGAGTTGTGGAGCCTGGATGCACACACAGTCGCAAGAAGCCCAAAGGATCAGAGGGCTCACTACCCTTCTTGGCATAACCATGCTCGATTCATACATAGCCTTGCATGACGAGCGACGTAACCACGCCGCAACGTGCGTGGCTACATCATGGTGTTTCATATCATTCATCTTCTTTCTCGAGCACTCGAAAGAATTACGTCAGGTGACTGTGTGGTCACACAGGCGAGAAGTTTCTCTCATTCAGTTTTTTAAGTTAGTGATTTTTGAGCAATTGTATTCTCTTGAAAGCATTTGTGTGAAGTGGTGAAGTTCTAGAGAATGATTTCATAGTGTAATTTCTCAAGTGAGATCGAGATGAAGAGTTCGAGCAAAGTCTTGCAAATTCTACTAATTATAGAGAGAGATATAAGTGAATGTTTTTGTACATTTCTAATTCAACATAATGAAAATTTTTTGGAGGTGTGATTACATGGCTTATTTTCTTTCTCGAGTTTTCTCACATTAAATTTTAGTGTGAACTTTCTAAATTTGATTTTTTATTCTTCTGTTTGATTATTTATTCTAGATTTCATGAAATTGTTGTAATCCTATTTTATGGCGTGGTTTTGATTTTTAATTGATTGAAACTATAAGTATATAATATCATCCTAACAAGTGGTACTAATGAGCTGGTTTTTTGATTTACGTGGGAGAGATGGTCAACGAAATAAGATATAAAGTGAAGAATTTGAATGGGTCAAAATTCACATCCTAGCGGATGCAATGAAAGATTTATTGTATTAGAAAAAGCTATATCTACCACCGTAACAAAATGCCAAGAACCCTGAATCTATGACTAGGGAGGAATGGGAGATGCTGGATCAAATAACTCTAAGTTTGATCTATTTATCACTTTCAACATCAATTGCATTTAATATAGTAATTGAGAAAACCACGACATATCTCATTGTGACATTGATAAAGATGTACAATCTTCTATTTAAACTAAGATTTTCCTGATGAAGAGATTATTCAACATTAAAAAGATAAAAGACAGTTTAAGAGCAAAACATCTAAATAGTATCAACACTATAATGACTATGATTCGTTATGTATGGATCTAATTTGATGATGAGTTCAGGGCACTGCTAATTTCGTCTTCATTGTTGAACAACTGGGTAGATCAGTCAGACTACGAGTAACTTTTCCGAAAATATGATGTTGAACTTTGATGACACTGTGGGGTTGGCGTTGAATGAAGAAATTTGAAAATATGCAATGATTGGTGAATCTTCAGGTTTTACATTGAAAGCAGAAAACAAAGAAATGAATTTGGACTGAAATAGGAGAAGAGATAGTAGATTTAGATCCAGAAGAGAAATGTATAGATCGATCAGAGGAAATGTCATACGAGAATGTAGGAACTATGGAAAGAAAAAAAGTTTTAAGAATGACTGCATAGCTCAAAGAAAAACTGGTGGAAAACATGCAAGGTACTTCTCTACAAATATCTCCATAGTTCAAATCTAAGGTGACTCCTTTGTTTTATCTCATAGTCAGTATTGAACCTTGGATTGTAGATTCAAATTCCTCTTTTCACGCATGCCCCAATAAAAAGTATTAAAAAATATACTCATAAATATTTAAGGAAGGTTTATCTGAAAGACAACCAGATATGCAATATCGTAAAAAAAGTGTGTTATGAATATCAAGATGTCAAATGGAAAGTTGTGATAGATCATTACGAGCTTAAGTGCGGAAAGTGTCACACTCCTCCATCTTCAAGAATAATTAGCAAGACAATCATGAGATGGAAGATTCTAAAAAAAAAATCAAATAGAGAAGAGCAATCCAATTAACTTTAGAAAACTCTGTCACATTCCAGAGAATATTAGAAGGAAAAGCTTCAATGAGAACTCAAGAATAACCTAAAAAGTTCTAAGGCTATGTATGTATATACGAGAACAGTGTATGATATCTAGAAACTAGAATATTCTAATGTAATCTAGAAGATTCCCTTAGTCCTGGAGGAGCTTTAAATACAAATCCCCCCCTCCTCATTTGTATCCATCCAAGAACTATTCAAGATTTCTAGACATTCAAGTGTTGTAATCAATTTTTCTTAATGAAGTATTTCCTTATCCAATACTTGTCCCTCCTCTTCTTCCTTGCCCAAACATTGTAAAGGTTAGACTGATTTAGCGCTAAAGAAGAGCGTTAAAGCCACAGGGATGACTTGAGATAAATTTGTCCGTGATATTAAGCTAATACAAATTATTAAAAAAATATATATCATAAAACATTATTTAAAATAAAATATTAATCGTATTTCAAACTATTTTTAAAACTCCAAAATCCTAATTCACTTCCGCCCGATTTATCCATTCACGATAACACGGAACGAGAGCCACCACTTGGACCCGACTTCCGCTCGCCCCTTAAATACAGCGCCATCCTTTCTTCTTCCTTCGCACCATAACTTATGAGCTCCTTCTTCACTCTTCTACATCTCCTCCCTCCCTCTCCCTCCCTCTCTCAAAAAATCTTCCATCACAAATCATGCCGGATTCCGGCGACGATCCGCTAGCCGAATTCCGGTGGGGGGCCGAGACGAAGGTCCTCCTCGGAAAATACGAGCTCGGCCGTCTCCTCGGCTGCGGTTCCTCTGCAAAGGTTTATCTCGCCCGCAACCTCCGCACAGGACAGACTGTTGCTATAAAATGCTTCAGCAAGCTCCGCCTCTCCAAATCCGAACTCGTGAATCACGTTAAGCGGGAGATCTCCATCCTCCGCCTTCTCCGCCACCCCAACATCATCCACCTCCACGAGGTGCTCGCGTCCCGATCCAAGATCTACTTGGTCCTCGACTATGTCAAGGGCGGCGAGCTCTTCGAGCGCGTCTTCAACGCCGGCCGCTTGTCGGAAAATCTCTGCCGCCGCTACTTCCAGCAGCTCATTTCTTCCGTCGGGCTCCTGCCCTACCCAGGAGCTCGGTTACTGCCATTCACGCGGCGTCTTCCACCGAGATCTAAAGCTCGAGAACCTCCTGCTTGACGAGAACGGCGATCTTAAGGTCTCTGACTTCGGCCTCTCCGCGATTCCCGATATGGTCCAAGCTGACGGACTTTTTCACACTCTGTGCGGCACTCCCGCCTACGTTGCGCCAGAGATTCTCGCCAAGAAGGGCTACAGCGCCGCCACCGTCGATCTCTGGTCCTGCGGCATCATACTCTTCGTCCTCTTCACCGGTTATCTTCCCTTCAACGACTCGAATCTCATGGCAATGTACCGCAAAATCTACCGCGGCGAGTTCCGATGCCCTAAATGGACATCGTTCGAGCTCAGACATCTCATCGGCCGCCTGCTGGACAAAAATCCCGAGACCAGAATAACAGTGGAGGAAATCATGACTCATCCCTGGTTCAGAAAAGGGCTGGATGCCAAGAAATGGGCGGCGATGGCGAGCTTTCAGGAGGAGGGTGCGGGGGATGAGGAGTACAAGATTTCGAAAGCAGAGGCGGTGGATGCAGAGAAAAGACAGCTCAACGCTTTCGACATCATCGGGTTTTCTTCCGGTGTGGATCTCTCCGGGCTCTTCGGCGTGCAGAAGAGGGAGAGATTTATCTCCGGCGAGGCGCCGGAGAAGGTGCTCCGGCGGGTGGAGGAGGCGGGGAGAAGCGAGGGTTTGGTGGTGAGCAGGAAAGGGGAGAAAGGGAGCGTAGGGGTGGCTTTGCGGGGTCAATGTGGGAATTTTGTCGTTGGTGTGGAGGTTTACCGGCTGAGCGAAGATTTAACTTTGTTGGAAGTACAGAGGGGCCGGTTCATGGAGGGGAGGGAGCGCTGGGCCGGCGAATTTTGGAGGGAGAATTCGCTAAGGGACCGCGTAACGCCGGTTGTGGATTCGGTTTCTGGGACGGCGGTGAACCGCTAAGATCTGAGCCGATCCAGATTCCGGATGCAGAGCGTTGGTCAGCGATGGAAAAAACCGAACCGGTTTTCTACCTATGCGTTATTTTTGTGTATATTACCATATTTTTTTTTAAATGTTTTGACCTTTTATCCGAATCTGTTGGGGCCATATAATGGTTCCACTAATTGATTTAAGCTCCGGAAATCTCTAATTTATGCTATTATATTATGTATTGTCTCAAAATGTAACAGCGGCCTTTACATACCCACCACCGAAGTCTTATCTATTAACATAACAATTATCCAAACTTTCATTTATACGACGAGCTAAAATTTTGGTGGTTGATATGTTCATATAATGTTAGGAATGAGCCAACATGAATCTCAGAGGAGATCTAATGATTTGAGAGATTGCAAAGAAGAATTAAGGAGGGCCGACCAACAGACAACAGGAGGCATGTTTATCCAATCCAACGTAGTAAGTATGAACCAAAGCTAAACCCAAAGTCAATCAAACACGACCATTCAAGTCATAATTCACAAGACAAAAGATGTCCATATGGTTCGAGTACGAACTTAAGAAAAGACTCAATTTCTCAATGCCATCAACCATTCTACGGATGCCCTAAAGATTCTTTATCAAAGACTAACTGCCTGTTTGGGGCAGCTTATTTTGCTGCGGCGGTGCCGTAGTGTTTGTTTAATGCATTCGGCCATGTGTTTTGAAAACTCCCGTAATCGCGTCTTATATTTTGTTCTATGGATCGGACACGGGGGAGGTCTTGCGTTTGGCGTTTGTTAGGGCTCGAATTTCTCCCATGCCCTTACGGTTTCTCCTTCGTGATCTTCTTTCTCTCGCGATCTTTTTTCCCGATCTTCTCTTTCGTAATCTTCTGGTGAGATCTATATGCCGCAATGCTTCGATCTTCTCTGTTTGGTTTTTGTTTGGTTTTTATGTGGCTTCTGTTTGGTTTTTATGTGGCTAGATTCCTTAAAGCTGAGGTTTTTATGCGTTTTTTTTATTTTTTTTAGGGTTACGTTGTGAATGAATTTTTTTTTGAAGTTTTGTTCGAAATGTTGGAGTGAAATGGATCTGAGGGTTTCGTTGAAGGAATGTGCCTGTTACGGTTGGAACAGTTGAAATGTTTAGGGGGAACTCTTGAATTTTTTTTTGAGCCCTTACGTTTTGATTTTTTGGGTATTTTAGGTTCATGTTACTGTTGGAATTTTTCCAGCTGCTTCTAACTGTTGGTAAGTGAAGGAAGATGCAGCCCTGTTATGTTGTTTGTTGGGTTCCATCTTTGATTCTTTATACTGTATAAACTGTTATGTTGTTTGTTGTGAAGCAAGAATCGTTATACTGTATAAACTGTTGTGTGCGATTACAACCATGGTTCTCTTTCACTGTTTCAATGCATTCCCTGTTAGTCCAGTTTGGTGTATGAAAGCAAAGGTTCCTTGTTAAAATTGTTTAGTTGCACCATTTATATTGATCAGCTCCTGTTATAACCTAGAAATATTTTCTTGGTCTTTTCGGTCTTTTCGGTTTGCTTGGCAATAGTGGCAAAGGTTATATTATTGAGGAGGCAATGTTTACTTTCTGTTTTATATCAGGCAAAAGTGACAGTACCTGAATTATGAGAATGGCAATGGTTTCAATGTTTAGCTGCACCAATGGTTATAACATATGCAATAGTGGCAATGTTTACTTTCTGTTAAATATGTGGAATTGCCCATTAAGAACTTAAATATTACACATGTCAGTTGTTTAGCTGAATGTATGTGCCTTTAGTGAGACATAATTGGGTTATCTTCACTATCTTTGCAAGACCATTGCTATGTATTTGAATAGAGGAGATGCAACTATTGCTATGTTATATAAAGAGGAGATGTATCAAATTTAGATGTCTATCGAGAACCTTTGCTATGTATTTGAAAAGCATAGTTATGTAAACTTACACAATTTCATAATAAAACATATTCAATGTCTTACTGTGGTTGTAGGTCTTTGGTATGATTGATAATGAAGAGTTGACCGTCTATGAAGAAACATCAGAAAGCAAGTTCAGGCCTTCAGTTCCTGAGTATGAGAATGAATTTAATGATTTTGTAGTTTATGACGCGGAGGGTGTAGCTGAAATGACTGCTATGAGGGAATCTATAGCAGATGCTATACATGGCAGCTAATCCAACAAGTCTTTCTTTTTCTCGTATATATGTAGATTAATTTTTATGTGAATTTTATTTTTCTTTTTAGAATAAGTACTGACATCACATTATTTTTTTTTCCGCAGTTAAACAAACATGACTTCTAGGATATCAGTTACAGGAGGTCTTTTGTGTTATTTTGTTCTACCGACTCCGTTGCTCACGTCGCGTCAGTCTAAAAGCTTTGGGAAACATTTCTACAATTGTGTTAAGGGTGTTTTTACTTGTTGCGATTTCTTTCGGTGGGTTGACAGTCCCACATATTACACTGCCAGCAGTCATGCGAATCTGGTGTTTTCTCAAGTTGACAGTGCAGACGAGGACATGCGTAGCCATAGTCTGAAATTAAATATTTTAATATTTTTCATTGTAGTTGTACTTGTATTTGTACTTTTTTATTTCTTCTGGTACTCATGAAAGAGTGAGAACTGTATGACATCTTTTATAATTGATCTATGATGAGTGTATGTTTCTGCACTATGTACTTCTATTCTACCAATAAGTTATTCTGAATAAGCTGCTCCAAACAGTTTTATCAGACAGGGACAAGAATATCATTTAACCACCAATAAGCTAATCTAAATAAGCTGTCCCAAATAGTAAGACATATTATTCTGATAATCTGCGGATTATCAAATTATCAGGGTAATCTGCTTATCAACATATTATAAATAATCATCACCTGTGTTAAACAGGCCCTAAGTAGTAACTATGCATCTCGATCATCCCTCCGGCTCTCCTTGCTGGAGAGTGAGCATGTTACGGTGATTCGTCTTTCGCCAATAATCAAGCATCACTCAACCAACAAGAGCACCACATCAATGATTGAAGACTGATAGTCAAACTATAACCACCGATCAACAAAGTCAAGTTGATCGAGCCATCCCTGCAAATTTGAAGACCATCAAAGGTTGAAGAGCTACCCCGGTTCAGTAGAGTCGAATGGGTAGACATTGTCGATCCAAGACGCAATTAGTTCTACTGGTTTGAATTAAAGGGTAGCGGAATAATAGGCCTATACATATGAAATACTGAGAATATGATGTAATTCCTCCATTAAAGCTGGGGTGGACATGTAACTTCACATACCGTACCGTTTTCTCCATAATTAGGAGATCATTTTATGAGAAAATAGTTAATGAAAAATATATTTTCTTGTTTATTGTGCTGCCTCTCTCTCTCTTCTCGCGCATAAGATTTACATGTTTCATATTGAAACTTTGTTATTTACATGTACAACATTCGAAAGATTAAATTAATGCTAAAAATAGCATTTATCCCAACATTTTCAGCTGCTGTGCAGCAAAAAAATATGAAGAGCGTTGACTCTGTTTGGCATCTTCACAATTCTACTCGGCCTGTTATTACCATTATTCAAATCGATCTCTTCACCAAATTTTAATCAACCCGTTGGTATGATTCTAATTTTTGGACCTTAATCGGCCTCTTTTCTTGAGCCTTAGATGAGTTTGTTTGTTTGTTAATGAAGAACAGTGCTTGATAATGTAAATAACAAAATTTTTGTGTGTTAAATCTGTAAATCTTATGGTCATCAGTGTTATATATATAAATCAAAATAAAATAATTCAATTTTTTTTTATAAAATAATTTCTTAAGGTACCAATTACTATGCGAAACAATTATTGGTCTAATTTAGCTCTCTCTTTCTCACCCCTCATATAAAAAGATTGGGATCATAAATGCTCTAAACCCTACAACAGAGGACTCAATATAAAGCTTATTTTTCAAGAAATTTTTCTTATTCATATATACATACTAGCATCTATTTTTATTTTTATTTTTTTTTGCAAAAAATTAATTATTTATTTATTTAATGAATAAATATTTAGATATTCTACTCAAAATAAGTTGAATATAACCAAGTAAAAGTTTATTCATATTTGGTTCCATTATACATTGAACTAATTAGTGAGTAATTATTAATAAAAAAATTATTACGGACATACCCTTCCAACTTCCTAAAATAATAATAATAAATATATGAAAGAGAGAGCTACTTTTAGGGGTGACAGAAAGGCCACTCGCTTTTCGCCTTTCTTTCAGTACCTTTTGTTCTCTTTATAGAACCGGGCGTTGATTGTTAGACTGCGATCCTCTCCAATTTGCAAAAAGATCCTTTTTTTTTTTGCAAATTATATGTAGAAAAAATGAGAAAACAGATAATTGAAGGGATAATACCAACACGTCAGCCGTCCGGCTGATGTGGCTTTTGTCTGACCGGATTGCTCGGAAAGCGCTGGCCATTCCTAAACTCGGGAGCAAAGCTTACTGACAAAAAAATATATTTACATATGTACCTATAATGATTTAAAGTATTTAATTCATTTTTCTATAGTTGAAATAATAGCCTTTTTTTAATCACAGATGAAAATTTGGCCAAAATTTAAAAATCATATTTTTTTTAAATAAATTTTGTTAGTTTAAATAACTGCTAAAAAAATTTAATCACAGATTGTAGCCTTCATAGTGTATGTTTAATTATTCTTTTTAAAGTTATTTAATTTAACAAAATTAAAAATATTAAAATTTAATCAATACTATATTATAAAATAAAATGACTTTAATCATATAGATTTTTATTTAAAATTAAATAGAAATTAAGTTAATCTATGTAGTAAATAATAAATTTAAATATATTTTAGCTTTCAAAAATCTTAAAAATAAATTTATAAAAAATGTTATTTTTACAACTTTGCCTTATAAAATCTGCGGAGGTAACCGTCTTCTCATTTGATATTTTGAAAATAAAAAATAATTAAAATTTTTTTTTATCTTTCTATATAAATTTTAAATATATATTTATATAATTAATTAAAGTTATTTAAGTTTATATTATAATATTAGGTTTTTAAATTTTATTATTATTTTTAAATGTGATTATAATATTTATGAAATTTTATATAGTTTTAAATTATTTATTAAATTAAATAATTTAAAAAATACTTGAAACACTATCCTCCGAAAAA